GACTAATATTTCAAAAACCCTGTGCTACTTGTCCCAAACAAGTCTTTACGCTGATTTTCCTACAACGCTCCCAATAGCAGCCCTTACTTGCCTCTCCACCAGATTACTATCCAGAGCTCAAGCTTGAATAACAAGAAAGGGATTCCCCAGGCCCCTTGTTCCTGGATGCAGTCTTGGCTCCCAGAGTTGCTGTTTATGAAGCTAATATGTGGAGTCAGGCAGGGGAACCCTCACCAGGACAAAAGTCTTGGTATGAGGACATCTGCTGAAAAAAGCAGTAGATATTATGAGCAGATTAGCATAACTAGCTAGACCACCTTGACAGACAGTGTAAACAGGGTTGGGGACAGGATGTTTTGATCAGCAGCATCAATGGAGCCCCCGAGGCAAAAGCTGCTACTCACTCCCCAATAGATTGTGGCAGGCCATTTTGTATCCTCAATATACATTCTCACCAGGCACATTCCTCCACAAACATGCCCCCTTCCCTAAAGGTGATAATAAATATGAGGCTGGCTGAGGGGCAAGGGCTGCATCCCATAGGTGTAAGCACCTCTAGGTCTTTCTCTCTCACTGCTTAGACTTTGAGGTTTCTTTCCTCCATCCCACAGTGCTTCGTCGCTGCCTCCCCGAGAGGCAACACATTTCTACTTAGGTTAATCCTGTTATTATTCCATGCTTATATTAGTTGTTCCACTTTGTTTCTGAAAATTAGTAGTATAATGGTGAAAGAAATTATTTAAATACCTAAATAATATACATCCAAGCAGTAACATTAGCTCACTCACTATACTAATTTCTCCTCTTCTGCTCAGCAGGCCTCTGGGATGGTAATGGTACTGTATGAACAATGCTTTTCTGTGTGTGGTTAGCTAGGCAGGCTCAACTTTAACAAAGACACCTGTTGATGTATTCCGTGTCTTGCTCTTCATGTCCCATCTCACCCCTCTGCGAGGTCTGTGAAATACTTGGTCTCTGAAGAACCAAGTGCCCTCAGAGTTTCATTGAGAGAATACCAAATGTCACAATGTGCTAGGTTCAATGGCATCATGTGCATGGTTATAATATCAAGAACTGAGTGACAATGATAGGCATTATCAATAGTCAGATGTCAATGATTTGGCAAAGGATAAATAATACAACTCTCAGATGTAGTACCAAGCTGTTTCTGAGGTGATCAAATTCATTTTTGTGCAATCAAAATGGTAATGAGACATTCAGCAGGAGTCAAGACTACCCTTCACTGATTGTAAAATCTATTAATTAACATAGTAGATATCATGCAACAATCTGGGGTGGGGAAGAGATGTGACAAAATGCGCAACAGACTGGTTAAAAAATAATTACATAGCATATATATGTTCCTTTTGGCTTTGTAACTATGTTAGATTTTATTTCCCAAAGAGAGAAAATCAAGTTATGTGTTATAGAAGGTGTCACAGAGAAAGTAATCTATGGGTTGTTATGATTTAAAAAAAACAGTTGGAAATGTCCTTAAGTTGGACAGAAGTGAAGAAACTATGGCAAGGCAGCCAAAGGGAATAAATATTCTTCTTGGATAATTCACAGTGAACCTACAGAACTCAAGGCAGCCAGCGCCCGTGGTGTGGGAATACATCATGTTAAGGTGAAAAGAAGCAACGTAGAGAAATCTAGTGAATCTTCCCTAAAGACACAACATAATATAAAAGAAGCTTAAGGAAGTTCTCCTCACATAATTAGACATTGGAAGCTGTGTGAGACAGTCTTTACACAGACTGTAAACCCCACAAAAAAAAAAAATTCAAGTGCACAGCTCTGAGCACAATATTTGCTAACTTCGTGAATCAAGGAATGAAGACCATATCCAGAACCTGAATTTCTTAGATTTGCCACAAAGATCAGGGGTTACCAAATTCTGTGTAAGTTAACACTTTTATATAATACTTAGAAATATTTATATCCAAAACTGTCTAGTCAATTTTTCACATATTCTTATGAATACTGATATCAGAGGTGATGGTGAATAGATGCAATAGGCCAATCTGTCACCTTCCATATCTGTATCAAATTGCACTGCTTTGTGTGATCTGACTAAACCCTTTCGAGCCTACTGAAGCCTGTCACAGAACCAATAGGATACTAATACAGCATTTTATAGTTAATTTACATTACGGGTAATGTAGTAATACTGAAAACTGAATTCTAAACAGTTGATCTCAGTTCAGTAATTTTTCAAAGACTAAATATCCTTGGCCATTTGCCAGAAAAATAACTTTAATTTTTGAAAATCAAATGTAAAATGATAAACAGATATTAAGGCAATAGTGGTGTAATCTGTAGCTACCATCACTGGATGCTGCAGTACCCTCAAATGCTGGCAAAGTCAGACTGTAAGATCGACAAGGTGGAGGGTTAGGGGTCACAGAAAAGACAACATGGCTGCTTTATCCAAACTACAGTTTTCCAACCCCAATTTCTTTTCTGACACATTATGAAAACGGAGTTTACTGGATAGTTCATAGCACTCACAAGAGGAAGTACAACTTTCAAAAAGAAAAAAAGCAATGTGTTTAAGACATGTCAAAGGTACCTACTGAACAAGCATGTACAGAAAGTTTGTGCAACAATTCCAATATTGACTCCCTTGATCTTTGGAGCTTATCGCCTCAACCATGATCAGTTTCATTCATTTATCAAAGCCTGTTATATAGACATGATTATTCTGGTGTATGTCATAACCTAAATGACACAAGAGGTATTTGAGAAGCACAGGTTCCATAGGTGAATACATATAAGAATTCAGAACTCATGAGATAATGTTTAGACTAGAGCATTATTGGTGCTACTGCAAACTACACACAGGGACATCCACTCACAGCCATTGGGATAACTGGTATGATACACCCTGCAATAATCATTACAACCCTGGACAAGGTATATAAAAGTGCTCTTAGAACAACTGCCAGGGCAGAATTGTGGCTCTAAAAGGGAAGAAACAAACAATAACTGAGAACATTTTGTATGTGGTAGCATGGGGAGTAATAACTCAAGCTGAGCTTTGAAGTCTTGTTAGATTAAAGATCAAACACCAGATATGGAGGTAAAATATATGAGGGCAGAGTGTCAGAGAAGAGTGAGCTACATAGTGAAAGAAATATAATTGTTTTAAAGTTGCAAATATCACTAAAATAATAGAAAGACTCTACCAGTCAGTATGATTGAGTCTGCTGTGGAAGAATAAGGCAAGAATGCTAGCAGGTGAAACCCCAGTAAGCAGGCAAAGAAGGAACAGGAAGTTTTAAGCTGGACAATTCCCAGAACATACAGAAAGCAAGGAGATATTTAAGGTTCAACCAGTAAAAATGAAGAGACAAAGGAAGTCAGATTTTAGTAGTGGGACTAAGTCAGCCTACAAAAGATACTTTTATCTGTCCTACCAAATTAAAAGACGTCTCAAGTACTGGCCGACAAATAAAATTCAAGAAGTGCTAAAAGAAGTTAACAAAATCAAGGCACTAAATAAGTCATGACACCAATCGTCAATGAAATATAGATATATAAAACAAGTGAGACCAATAACCAATAAAAATCAATTATTAGGAAGATATGTAGGAAGAAGTGAAGAGGCCAAAGATAGAATACTGACAAATACCCAGATAGAATCTAAAATATGAGATGAAGGAGGCCCTCCCTAGTGGCACAAGGGGTTAAATATCAGCACTATGAAGCTATCCACAGGCTCTGCATTATGAGTTCAATCCCCAACCAGGGGATTGAGTTCAACCCCCAACCACATGGCATGGAAGATCTCTCCTGTCCATCTGCTGCTCCTCTCAACAGTGTATCTCAGCAGATCTGCCTGTTCTCCTCCCCACTCTGTCTCTGGTGAATCCTCTTACCTCCCTGCACCTCTGGTCTACCCCACAGTTTGTGTATTCATCAATAAATGAAATAAACAATAAATCTTAAATAAAAAAAAATGAGATGAAGGAAAAGACTCTAACAAGTATCACATGAGTAGAATAATCCAAGATATTAAAAGCATCAGGAGATGGTTATGCCATAGATGACACAAGGGAGACCATTTCAAAATGGAAGGAGTGGTCAAAAAGGAGATCAAACAAGATAGAGACTAAAAAGGGACCACTGGATTTTATAAGAAGACACTTTCTATACATGACCAGGCTAGTTCCATGGGAGATAGAAGCTCTAAGGAGTGAATATGATGTGAGGCCATATAGGCAGTAGTGTGGATGTTTCTCAAGACAATAAAAGTGCATCTGCCATATGGCCCAACAATTCTACTTCTAGGTATCAACGAAAAAAAATAGAAAAAATACTCATTCCAAGGGAAGCCTGTATTCCTATGATTATAACAGTACTACTTATAATACCTGAGATATGAAATCAACCTAAGTGCCCCAGAACAGTTGAGTAGATCAAGAAGATGTGATACACAATGGAATACCACTCAGCAATCAAAAAGATAAATTCATGCCATTTGCAACAATGTGGATGAAGCTGGAAAAGAGTGTGTAAAGCAGAATAAGCCAGAAAGAGAAAGATATACACTGGATAGTGTCATTTATGTGGGAGATATAGAACCCAAACAAAGGATCAAAGATAAATTTTAGAATCAACCTTTGAAAGATCAGAGGCCTTCAGAAGAGCATAGTGGACTATGGGGAAGAACTATTTGTGTCTTTGTGGTGGGACTGCTATGGTGATTACACCTGAGGGGGAAATCATATATTGTCAAAACACTAGCAATTATGTAAAGTGATAGAATCAATGAAAATAAAATTAGAAAATGGTACGAGGAAGGAGAGATGCCAGTTATTTCTTTAAATCAAGATCATTTCTGACTCAGGGTAGACAAATATATGTACATTTTACTTTTGAAAATATTTCTTTTAATATTCTAGAACTTTCTTTAATATTGTTTCCTTCCTTCATGCTCATATTTCCTCCTAATACACATTTAACTCCCAAAAGAATTAATAAATTGAAATTGTTACCAAAAAAGGCATTCAGTAGCTTCTGAACCTGAATATTGCTGCCCACAGTGCGGTACAAGCCCTCTGTCTTGATACCTAGAGAAAGAAAAAAAGAGAATTCATCTCACTCTAGGTAGTGAGAGTAGGTATTTACACACGAGAGTCAGTTCAAATCAGAAAAGGTCTATCTACTTTCTCCAAGTTCTCCAGGCCTCTCTTAGAACTGGTGAACAGTCCTAAAGTATCTAGTCAAATTGTCCACAAGCCCTCATTAATTTGAACATAAGAGAACACATTCTATAATAAAGAAAAGAATATGTTTATTAGGTGGGTAGCAGCAAAATGGCTGAGAAAGATGCTGACATCTTGGCAAAGAGCTTGGGTTTCATGTTGCCCCTAAGCAATGATATCAAGGAAGAGGGGATTGCAGTATAGTAGATACGAAGCAACAGGTAATTTGTGCATAGAGAAAAACTGAAATATTTCAAATAAATAAAAGGTTTGGCTCTTACACTATCCTTGCTCAAGTTCCAGATGTCCCCAGTAGAAACTAGATGGTTCCATCTAGCAGGAAAAATGCTGATTCCACATTTGCCTGAGTTTAGCCTTGCCTTAACAGTTTTTAAATCAATATGTATTGTGATAAAAACTGAACTTTTGTTTCTTTAAGATGGCGATCATAGTATGAACTGAATAATGGTAGTACTACAGAATAATTTATAAGTCATTTAAGTCTTTCTCTTTAAAAGCAGGAAAACCAGGGGCCCTCCCTGGTGGCTCAGTGGGTTAAAGCACAGCACTAAGAAGCTAAAGCCACTTCAGCATGAGTTTGATCCCCGCTTGCCCCGGAGGTGACCCACATGTTGCAGTAGACCTCTCCTGACACACCCGCTGCTCCCCTCATCAGTATACTTCATCAGTTGGCCTGTTCTGCTCCCCACTCTCTCTCTGGTGAATCCTCTCTCCACACCTGCACCTCTGGCCTGTACCCCAGTTCTATATATGTAAATAAATAAATCTTTAAAAACAAACAAACAAAAAAGCAGGAAAACACAAATAATCCAAATATGTTTGAAAACCACCAGTTTGGAATTTTCTGAAACTTTACAAATTTTCTGTATTGTTCAAGATTCATGAACTGTCTCATTCCTATAATGGGTCTTAACCAATAGCTGACATCACTGCTACTTTCGAGCAACTGTCCGAGAAAAAAATTACAATGACCAGAATCAAACATGCCAGGGCTAGAATTCACATTGAGTCTTACCTTTGCTCTCAATGACATTGATGCACTTCCTAACAAACTTGAATCCCACTTCATTTAGCTCCACTGTTTGAAGCAAAGGAAAACAGTTAGACCCTGCTGTCACAAGCCTTTTCTATCAAATGTTTACTGATCATGCTAAAAAATAATAAAAGATCCTTTTATTCTGGGAAGATTTGGAGGTTTTACTCTTAGAATACAAAATGCTTTTAGTTAGACCTTTGTATTGTCTGCTTTAGGCATGATGACATCAGTGTTAGCTTGGAAAAACAATTTCTGCCTATGTTACTACTCCGACCCCACAATATAAACTAAAATAAAATCACTTCCTTAGTTCGGTCAGAAGACACATTTTATAAAAAGAGGCTGACTTCATTTCATACAAGGCATTTATAAACATGCTTGCACCAATAGTACACATCATTGAAAATAACATTTACTGTCATTATGGTAGTTGATGATAACATCAGCAGGCCAAAAATTTGACTCACTTTCTTCCTGTTTTGTTATTGGGCTGTGGTAGATCTACAAAAGAAGATAAACAGAAAAGGCCATGGCTATAGTAAATCAATAAAGATAACTACAGCAAATAATATTGAATCTTTCCCCCGTGATAGTTAGTCTTAAAACCATTAACAATGCTACAGTGTTAGCAAGAAGGAAAGGGGGTTAAACAGAATTATCTTTGCCCAGGTGCCCAGAAGACAGCTGGGTTAATAATGCCTGAGGTTTACACTGCATTTCATGGAGTTTGTTGTCGCTAAAGTTGTAGCCTACCCTTCCTAGGTAATTAATTATATAAAACTCGGAACATTTTTATGATCGCGTAAGAGCAGAAGAAAAAGGAAGTTATTTTTCATGGATACTTGGGGAAAGGGAATTAATTGTAAATGCTAAATGTTCCCAATACCAATCTCCCAGCTCAAAAATGTGTTAATGGTTGTTTCTCTGTGGAAGGCAAGTACAACTCTGAAAGAAGTCCATGCACGTATCACGATTCCTCTGAGCCATCTAGTGGTGTGCATGAGAATAGCCCGGTGAGTGGCCGAAGAAGACATCCTTGACCATAAAGCCCAGTCCTGGCTCTGACTCTACCTTATTGTGAAATCCTGGCCAGTGTTTCCCATTCTCTAGACTTCAAAATTCATGTCACTAAAATGATTCAGTTAAGAGTATATGTTCCATGAACTGCTGATCATCTTTGGCATTTTAAGCAAAGCCATGCCAACCAAATAAGGTCAATGGATTGGGGTGTTCAGCAAAGCAAGAAACACCAGCTATAGGAAATAAACCCTCGACATGCCATCTGCCAGCATCTGTTCTCTTTGTAAAAGAAAATATTCTTCCTATATGTGTGTGTGTCTGCCCATGGATATATTAGTAAGAGAGATTTCTTTGCTGGATCGGCCTTGTCACTTTATAAACAAGAAATTTTTGAGAACACTAACAAAACTGGCAAGAAAATGAGCCAGAAGACCCATGTTCTACCATCATTCTCCACAAAAACCTATCTCATCCTTCAGTTGTTAAAATCTAAAGGAAGAACAAGTTAAGGAGAGAATAAAGAGAAAAATGGCTTGCTGGTGTCTCTAGAGAAACATCACGGGCATGTCGCGAAGTGCCGGGATTCTTAACAGGAGCGGGAGTGCAGCCCTGAATGATTTTCTGCATGGAAGTACTCACAGTGCCTCCTCTCCATTGCTACCTTGTCGGTTGCTACAAACGCAATCTAGAATTTGTGCATACCCCTTTAATCTCCAGGGTACTGAGGATACAATGAAAGTAAACCCTGGAGTGTATTTCTCCTCTTATTTTGTCTTGAGGAAAACGAGGAGGCAAAACTATTACGACACTGTTGAGTCTCAGCAGCTTTGCATCGCTCCTAAGACCAGCTGAAAGTACCTAAAACTAACACAGCACAGTATGGTTTACAGACAGGCTTTCACTGGATTTTCAAAGCAATCCTATGAGGTCGGCAGAGAAGAGATTAGTATAGCCAATTTAAGAGAGAATAAAACTAAGTGTCAGAGAAGTGGCCTTGCTTAAGGTCACATAACCATTCCAGGGAAGAACCAGGATCTAAATTCAGGCTTTTGGGATTCCAACCTTAAGAAGCTTATATGTCAGATGCCAATAGAACAAAACGATTAGGAAGATACTGAAAAGATACCGTTTTCCAATGATTTTGACTTTTTATATTGACTTTGATAATCACTGGCCCTTTAAAATTATCATGCCTTTCTATAAAACAACGATCTAAAAGGAATACAGGATGGTAATGCCATCATCTCTAGCAGCTGTAAACTTAAAGAAATTAAGCTTTGAGCTTGTGGGGATCAGAGCACCAAAATCATTTTGAATAATATTTTCATGAATGCTTGTTCACAGCCATAGCGATTATTTTCCATCTTTCTATATAAATACACATTAATTTATCATCTAGAAAAAGGTTTAATTTTCTTTTTTTAAGGAGGTCTTCTGGGTATAGCTGAGCAATCTAAAAGTGGACAAGAAGCTGAATGGCCTAGATTCTAGGCCTAGCTTTGTTGTGTTCCTTGAAGACGATCCTAGACAATCCTTGGCCCACTATGGAACCCAAATTACTCTACTAGCTAAACAAGAGATGTGAAATCAACAACTCCTTCCAGCTCCAAAATTATGAGTCAGATCAATCAATTATCACTGAATTGTCTTCTACCCACTGGTGCCACAGGAGGGCATTCACACACAGGGCTAAGTTGCTGAGGTTTCCCCAGTGTCTGAGGTAACTTACAGGTTCTTTCCCATCCATGGCCTCCATCCATAGTCTTCTGTTAGCTTCTGAAAGTGCCTGCAGAGTGATAGTCCCTGGCCTATAGGAAAAATGACAAATTTAAGGTATAAAACTCACTAGGAAAATGCACTCTTAGGATCGTGGGTGCCTCTCTGCCAGGGAGGTATTACACTGAGCGGGTGCAGACATACAGAATTCCAAGTTTTCAAAATTTCTTTTACTCAAAAAAAAAAAAAAACCACCAAAAATTGGAGAATGGTAACTTTGGAAAAGCTGGGGAGGGTTATCTTGACATCCTCACATTGGGATCAGAAAAGGAAATTGGAAGACATCAAAATGCATACTTAATTTGTTGTCATTGTGCTTGAGCAGCCTTGTGTCCTGAGCATATTTATCGGGCACATTCAGTTAGCTATCAAAAAATGGTCTTGCTACTTCATCATCCTAGGATGTCCAAAGAGTGTTTCAACTGGAAAGAATTCAGCAACATGCGTATTAGCTAAGCCAGGGAAGAGCTCTTTTGGCTCATTCAGCTGATGTATGAGTAATAATAACAACTAATATTTATTGAATGCTCACTATGTGCCAAGCTCTATAACAACTATTTTCATGTGCTAATTTATTTAATCACCTCAGGAAGTCTACAGATTGGTTAGTATAGTAATTTCTATTTCACAGAAGGGGAAAGTTGAAGCACATAGTGGTTACTCAACAACACAAAGAAAGTAAGTATAGAGCCAGGATTAGAAGTTATGAATTCTGACCCAACTGCCATGTCCTGTTTTTTTTTTAATATTTATTTATTCATGCATATAGAACTGGGGTAAAGGGCAGAGGTACAGGGGCAGTGAGAGGAATCACCAGAGCAGAGTGGGGAGCAGAGCAGGCAGACTGATGAAGTACACTGCTGAGGGGAGCAGCAGGCAAGACAGCATAGGTCTGCCATGCCATGTGGGCCACCTCCCTGGCCAGGGATCGAACTCATGCTGAAGCAGCTGCAGCTAGCTTCATAGTGCTGTGCTGCAACCCATTGTGCCAACAGGGAGGGACCGCCATGTCCTTTCTTAACCACTGTGCTCTAAGGCCTCTTCAGCATGGCAGATGAAATCAAACTGAATTTTAGTTTACTTACTTGCAGATTACCTCTACCCAGAGATACAGTAGGTTGGTATACTCAGCATGGTATTTTTGGATATTCACAACTGAGTTAGGAGTTTAGGACTGACTATATTATAACAGGTATATAGTCACCTTGCATTCACTGCTTAGCTGTACCATTTTAAAAACTTTGTCCCTCTCATTCCTTCTATATTAAGACCTCTCTGAGTCACACAATAAGAGAAATAACAAAAAAGTTCAGGGATTTTGTATAAGATACAGGATTCAATTAACTTACCCATAAAGGCATTAGAACAAATAAGCTGGGAGGTCTTTTCCAGTTCTGATATCAGAGTGTTCCTGTCCTACTTGCCCTAAATCTCTTCATTGAAGTTCCCTTAAAATATCCTAAATGATGTTTAAACCAAAAATCCATTGAAACCAGGACTTTAAACTTTACCTCCCCAAAACAAATATCCTTTTGGCTATGAGTTATGGGATAAAAGGTCTAGAAATCTTTGTAAAAACTGCTACCCAGTTTAAGCCTGAAGTCAGAAGGCTGGAGAGTAAGCCAATGGGCAACAGACATAAATAAAAGTAGACACTGCAGACCAGATATGACAATAAACCCATTTTGGAACTCAAATTCTCTACATGACAAATCAAAAAGCCTATGGATGTTCTTTACTGACTTTACATAGACTACAAGAATAAACACATGATTACAAAATTAAATAAATAAATTCAGAGATACTTGATTGCTATAAAAGGTCAAATTCAAAGAACAACTGGTATGAACAAGATGACAAAGTATCAAGAGTACTAACTTCTAGGCCAGGATCTTTTATGGATTACGTGTATGACCACAGAAAAACCTATTGCCATTGCTGAGATGTCAACCACTCAAATAAATCTAAAGGCATATACAGCATTCCTGCAGTAGAGTGCAAGCATTAAGAGTGCTTGGAGATCAAAACACATAGATTCAGATCCTGGCTCTACCCATTGACTAGCTGAGCAACCTAAGTTGCTTGACTTCTCTCTGCCTCCTTGTCTTCCTTTGTGAAATGGAGATAATAACATGCCTGACTTCATGTGACTATGGTGATAACTGAAGGACACGTGAAGGTTGACAGCAGTTCCAGGCACAAAGGAGGAACATAGCAAATGTTACCAGCTGATTTTTATTCTCACTTGTGTTGTTATTGTTATATTGTCCTACCCGCTCTGAGAGGCTGTAGTTTCAGATACAGTTGGAATGCTAATAAAACCAAATGTTATGCTCTATTGCTGAAAATTTAAAGGGACTGAAAGAATCCTTTGCTCCATGCTTCTGTGAACATGACTACAGATACCCGATGCCTGCAGGGAAACCACTGAACTTTCAATCAACTTCTCAACTACATAGCATGCTTTTCTTCAAAATGACCTCAAGTGCCCTCATTTTATAATTTATAGGTTAAATTGCCCTCTGATGAAATTGCTCAAGTTCAGAAAACAAGAAGATACAACAAATGCAACCAAGTCCAAAGTTTGCAAGCCTTTGCTGAAATCAGTTTATATAAATGATTTGCAAAGTGAGAAAAGTCTTCACTGTGTCTACACCAAGTGGGGGAAAAGAGACTCTCCAATACCACCATCTTCCATCCCATCTACCTCTCTGCAAAAAAAAAAAAAAGTGCCCAATGCACTTGTTCATAGATGTTACATTAGGATATAAAAAAATGGAAGAGTTTTGTTAACATATCCTTTTTTGCAACACCACCTAGTGTTGCTTTTTTGTCTGTATGGTGGAAAATTAAATACAGGAGTGATATTTTTTGCTGAGAGCAGATAAGACAAAGCTGACTGAAGCCTAGATAGAAAGAACCAGCTCTCAGCCAGGTCAAACAGGGATCCCTGTGAAGAACAGCCAGGAGAGCCAAGACAAAGATGTCATCAATAAATGTATTCATTTTCATCAACAAGAGATGCTAGGGGAAAATAAAAGACCTCATCAGGCTCAGCACCTGGAACATGGAGACACTGCCGACTCACACTATCACCGCTTACCTTTCATTAGTTTCTATATCGAAACAGAACCTCTTGTCGATAGATTCCGTCTTCCTTCTCACACAGTACTTCAGGGTTAAGTCCAAGGGTCCCTGATAGAAAGGAAAGATTAATAGCCACTTTGAAAAAAAAATGCAGAGAAGCTTCTTCTGCTCCCTACAGTGTCTTCTGGAAGGCATTTGTTAGGGCAGCAGGGGAAATGTGTAATCTCACTGAGAATCTTGTCCCATCAAATGGTAATTGTGGCAATATGACAGATGGTTTCTCCCCGTTCCAAGAATCAATGACTGAGACCAGAAGAAAATGCTCAGGATAAGCCAAGTATGTAGATTCAATAATAAGTTCATCACACTATTGTAAGGGGAGTGTAGGAGATATGGCCTTCCCAAATGGCATGAAGTGCACAGAATAAAATTTTCATGAGGCCTTTAGGTTGTGAGGCTGCAGCAAGTTAAATATCTTTCTACAACCCTCCTTCCATGAAAGAGATAGATGGAGGAAGGGGGACAAACATTTCTACCTCCAGACTCTTCCAGATGACTGGAACTGAAAAAGCAATTCCTCCAAAGGTAGGGCAGGATTAGGAAAAATAATCAATTTCTGTGTAACAGTGAAAGTCCCATCTTATATTCATGTGTGCAGGATACTGAGGCCCACCTCAGTCTTGTGGAAACCTAACAAGGCTATTGCACCCACTGTATCCGTAGATCACAATTCCCTAGTCCCTGATTGTTCAATTTCCCTCTACTATCTCAACAGTCAGTGTGAACCACCGGCAAGTAGAGTAACACTAATACATTAGCTAGCATGTGCCACATGTTAAGGATTGTTAAGCCAGCTTTCTTTACAACAAACCCTTAGAGGGAAACGAAAAGGTAAAATGGCTTAACTAAAGTCACCCAAGTCAGCATAGCAGAAACAGCTCTACGCTGGGGTCTGACTCAGGTATGCCATTTATCAGCGCATGTTCCAGAGCAAATCATCCTCCCTCTCTGAAATGTAACTTCTCAATGTATTGAATGGGAATATTACCATTCTGCTGGTATTTCAGAAGCACAGCCCCAGTGTACTGTCTGTGCTTTAGCACTCTACTAGCCCATGTGGCTGATCATCTAGTACGTCTCTCTCACTGACACGCTCAACCCCCGTGCAAGGCTTATCCATTTGCTGCTCCTGCCATATAAAAACTAAACTAAAGTAATCCTTCCACTTGCCTTACCTACCCTAATACTTAAGATGTCCAGCAATGTTGGTCTCTCAGATGCAGATAACTGACAGCATCAAGTATTCACTCCCCCTTTTCAATCTCTCAAGCACCTCAGCTTCAGTAGCATCAGCACTCAGGAGTGCAGGCCATGCTCTCCACTCAGGTTCAATGCCAGCAATTTTCATCTGTTTCATGCCCCATCTTATTTTACATGTATATCATGCTGGTTCCTGACTCCATAATTTGCATATACTGCTTCCTTCACAAAAAATCACTTTGTCTGTATTCTTGTCTGGTTAAACTCGTACTTATCCTACAAACTGCAGTTCAGCTTTCATTGCCTCCAAACTCCTTACCCACGCCCATATATTGCCTACAATGTGTTTTTTGTATTATTTTAAGGCTTCCTGTTTTCACGTGATTTCCTCACTTGACTGAGTACTCCAAGGACATGGAAATGTCTTATTTATCTTTATACCTCTGATATCCAGTAAAGAATTGGTGCTCAATAAATATTGAGGAAGCTGAGCAACATTAATTTACTCAAAGTCTAAAGCTGCAAGGCAAGACAGATAGAATTTAAGCACAACTCACGATTCATGAGACTTAAAATGTAACACTCTTTCTTTTTAGCACAACTGCTTGACAGGAAAGGGATGCAAATCTCATAAAACAGTGTATGGGGAGGTGATCTATAAATGAGGAGCACAACACAAATGGAATTTGATGGGCTAAACTAACAGGGGACACTGGTATTTTAGCACAGAAAGAGGACTATTCTTACACCTGTTACTGGGCTGATAAGAATGTACAGTATTATGGGAGGCAAAATAAAGCACATGATGCAAGGTGTCTCAATAACTGGCACACAACTGAAAATAAACTGCTTTTTTTTTTGGTTATAATTATAGTCTCATTCATTTACATTTCTAAGCTACAACCCAGTAATAAGACCTGACTCAGAAAACTGACAAGGAATCATTTCCAGCTTCAATTTAAGGAAATTCAAGTAACTACTCCTTACTTCCACTTCCTTCTAAATGGAGAAACAGGTTTCTCTTTCCGTTTCATAAGGAATCCTATATTAAAATTGCTTAGGCTCACAAGACTGCAGTTTCACAAGCAATTACTCAATGAAAAGGGAAGAAGGAAAGAAAAACTAAAGAGGGCTTGATCTCATCTGCTGCCTGGATAGGAAGGTTATATACACTCTTTGCCTTGCATTTTTCAGTGCACATGCCTGCGCAAGAGATAAAGGGCCTAGAAGTTTACTATCTAAAATAGGGTCTTTAAAGTCTGGAATTTGGAAAGCAATGATGTAGGGGAAAAGAAAAAAAAGGGACTACAAAACAGTGCTGCTTATAAGCACTTTCCAGTCAGATATATGAACTGAGTTGTTACAAAACTAGAACAAACTTTGTACTGCAGCAAAAGGTACAATATTGGAAACACTGAAAGTTGCCTTTTCAGCAGGTAGACTGGAAATGAAAGGATTGTTTAAAGCCATGAATGAGCTTCCTGGCTAATATACAGGCATGGATGAGGATCCTAGAAACCCTATTTGATATCCTTTGTCAGGGATACATCCCATGTCCAATCCACAATCAAAGTAGAGTGGCAAAACTATTATTTAAAGGGAAAAAAAAAGGCCATTTTCAACAGTCTGCCACCAAATGTTAATCTTTTTAAATAAGCCACAAAAGAGAAACTTCCATGGAAAATAGAGGCATCAGGCCCCCAGACTTCAAACTACAAAGCCATAGTAACTAGAACAGCATAGTAATGAAACAAAATCAGACCCACCGGCCAATGAAATGGCATAGAAAACAGAGAAATGCATCCACACATATATGGACAACTAGTCATTGACAAAGAAGCATAGAATTTACAATAGAACAAAGGCATTTTGTTCAATAAGTGATGCTGGGAAAACTGGACCACCACAAAACAAAAGAATGAAACTAGACCACTACCTTACACCATGAACAAAAATCAACTCAAAACAGATAAAAGATCTGAAAATAAAACATAAAATGCATAGAAGAAAATTTAGGTAAAACACTGAGACATACATCTCAGTAACATCTTTGAAGACTCATCCCCCAAATCAAAGAAAGTAAAGGAAAAAAAATCAGCTGAGATTACATCAAACTAAAAAGTTTCTGTATAGCAAAACAGACATTAACCAGAGAGAGAGAGAGAGAGAGAGAGAGAGAGAGAGACCCTACTGATAGGGAGAAAATGTTTGCAGTCCATACAACAGATAAGGGAGTGATAACAAAGATGTGCCAAGGACTCAAATGACTCAATAAACACAACCGCAAACAATCCAGTTACAAAAAAATGGGCAGAAGAACTTAAAAGATGCTTTTCCAAATGGCCAACAGACATATGGAAAAAATGTTCAACATCCCTCATAATTAAATCAGGGAAATGAAAATCAAAACCACAAGGAGATATCACCTTACACCAGTAAGAATGGAACATATTGAAAAAAAAAATAGTAATCATAAATACTAGCAAGTATGTGGTAGAAAAGAAACTCACCTACATTGCTGGTGGGAATGCAAACTGGTCCAGCCACTATGAAAAGTTGTGTGGCAGTTCCTCAGACTACTAAATATGGAACTCCTATATGACCCAGCAATTTCATTCCTAGGGATCTACCCAAAGTTACAAAAACACTAATTCAAAATGATACCTGCACCTCTATGTTTACTGCAGCACTATTTATGATAGGCAAGACTTGGAAACAATCCAAATGCCCCAAAAATCAGATGAGTGGATCAAGAAGATGTGTTATATTTACAGAATGGAATACTAATCAGCAATCAAAAAAGACAAACTCATGCCACTTGCAGCAACATGTATGGCACTAGAAAAGATTATACTCAGTGAAGTAAGTCAGAAGGAAAAAGAAAAATATCAGATGGTTTCACTTAGAAGAGTATATAGAAGAACCAAATAAGGCAGTAGAGAAAAATAGTAACAATAAAAAACATAACAAAACAAAACAGAAATATGCAGACAACTATAAATTAGAAACATTCTGCAGGGCTGGGGAAGGAGAGAGATCAAAACAAGGGAGGGAAGAGCACAAGGGCTATGGTGATGGCACATGGGTGAACTGGTGGTGGGAATTCTACAGGGACTACACCTGAGAAAAGCCGGCAATCACTGTAAAAATGAAAAATGATGTAAATGCACATATATATGTGTGTGTGTGTATACATACACACATATGTATACATATATGCACATGTATATATAAACTATACAGTAAAAAAACATGTATTTTTTTCTCTCTTTAGTCTCTTTCCCTCCCCTTCTCCTGCAAAGTCTCTGATGTATAAATTTTTTATTGATATTTGATTTTGTTGTGTTTTGTAAATTGCTAATAACAAATGAAAATTAATAGCTCCAAATAAGAAGCAAGTATTAAAAATTAAAAAGCTATTTAGAATTCTGTTAGTAGTATGATTAAATTGGAACTATTTCACAGTTCCAATTTGTTTAAATCAAATTAGTGTAAGGTGAGCTGTGTGTTAAAAACTATGACAGGGAAAATGACCAAATTTTCCTACAAATTCTTAACTACCTAAGTTGGATTTTTTTTTTAAAGATTTATTTATTTATTCATACAGAACTGGGGCACAGGCCAGAGATGCGAAGGGTGAGACGATTCACTAGAGACAGAGCGGGGAGCAGAACAGGCAGATCGAGGAAGTACACTGCTGAGGGGAGCAGCGGGCGGGTCAGGAGAGGTCTGCCTCGCCATGTGAACTCCTCCGGGGCAGGCGGGAATCGAACTCATGAGGAAGTGGCTTAAGCTTCGTAGTGTAGTGCTTTAACCCGCTGCGCCACCAGGGAGGGCCCCTAAGTTGGATTTTAATGTACCACTTTCCGTCCTTTTTCGTACTAAGGTACCAGTTCTACACATGATTAGGGGAATAGGTTCATAACTCAGCAGATGTGTGTTACAACACACCCATGACCAAAGCACCAAGGTCCTTTACCCTAGATCAATCGGGCTCTTACCTCCTTAATTGTCACCCCCTCCCTCTGGTAGCCTGAGTTCTGCCATCATATTTCTAGGGTTTGGTTTGTTTTAGTCTTGTTGTTTCTTTTTTGCTTTGTCTCTATATTCCATATGAGTGAAACCATCTCATGTTTGTCTTTCTTCTGACTTGTATCACTTCTGACTTGTATCCACTCCAGTTCTACACATACTGTTTCAAATGGCAAGTTTCATCTATTTTTAATAGTTGAGTTCTCTTCCATTATGTGTGTGTATAGATAGATAGATAGATAGATAGATAGATAGATAGATAGATAGATAGCTATAGATATAGGTATAGATATATAGATATACAGATATATAGATATATATAGGTATATAGATGTATCACATATTTGCAATCTACTCCTCTGTTGTTGAGCACTGAAGTTCTTTCTATAATTGGCTATTGTAAATAGTTCATGTACCATTTTCCATGCTAACAAGTAAAACTTGCAATACCTCTAACAATTTGTAAAGAATGGACATTCTTAAAAACATGGAATTACAACTAAGATGGGAAAAGGCACAAAATGATGCAAAGATAAACTATTGTAAAATTTTTAAAAATCATGCTTTAAGACCCTATCTGTATAGTTTGTCAGACTATCAGCTTTAAATTTAAGAAACTAGGGAAAAGGAAGAAGGCAGGGGTGAAGAATTGGAGGTTGTATGTGTATGAGAGTCAAGACTAAGTTGCTCCAAGTGAATCAACTATCATTTTTGTATATAAATCTCATCTTCATCTTTTGGGTAGTTCATGAATTTTGGGGGGACAGAAAAGGCATTAACTGCTAAAAGATATTTAAGAATTACAGAGAATTTGGGATAGTGTTTTTTTTTCTAATTTTAATCAATATAGCCTTTTAAAAAGATGAATTTTAGTATGAACATAAGGTACATACGTTTATAATCTTTTTGAATTAGTGCTTTCATATTGTTTGCATAAATACTTAAGAGTGTCATATCAGGATCATATGGTATGGCTACTTTTAGTTTTTAGGGAATACTCAACATCGTTTTCCATAGTAGCTACACCAAATTACATTTGCACCAAATTTATGCAACAGTTCCTTTTTTCTCAAACCCTTCACAGTCTTCTTTTTTGTTAGTTTCCAGTCTTTTTTATCTATGCCAGCCTGTGAAATGATATATCATTGGCCAAGATATGGAGACAACCTAAATGCCCAGCAACAGATGAATGATAAACAAGCTGCAGAACATATACATATACATAAATTCAATGGAGTACCACACAACTAATAAGAAATATGAAAGCCCGCCATTTGTGGCAATATGGATGGAATCTGACATGATGATGTAAGTAAAATAAGTCAGGAAATCAAAGACTAAGTCAAAGACTGGATCATTTTATTGATTTATGGACTATACATAAACAAAGCAAACAAACTAACAAAAATAACTCTTAGACTCTGAGAATAATATAGTGGTGACAAGAAGGGAGGTAAAGGGAAGTCGGAGAAATAGTAGCAGGGTTCAATTTGATAGTGTGAATGCCCCCAGAACATTTTTGGTAGGTACAGTAAAGTATATTATCTACCAGGTTTGAAGCTATATTCTCAAGTTTATATAATATTATAAGCCAATGGTAAATAAACAAAATTTAATTTTAAAATAATAAATCTAGATAATAATTTATATCTGAAACACTTGCCACTTAAAGAATTTGACAGAGCCTTCTCAAAAGCAAGAAGTGTTCTCCTCTGATTCACTCAAATTTTGCATATTTAGATGGTAGAATGTGACAGGTACTTGTAATAATTTTTAAAATGGTCTCAAAGAGTACAAGCACTTTCAGAAGTTTGGATGTAATTAACAGAGTTTGCTTACTCAGCTTGAGTAGTATCTTACCTAATGCAAAGAGACCAAGGAGAACAAATCAAGTAATGCCCTCACATGACAGCAATGGATTTGATTTTTTGACATTCAGTCAATACATGCTTTCTGAGATGCAGTTACAGATACACCTCCAAAACTATGGCACACAGAAGAACTGACCTGCTTAGCACCTGGTTTCTGCTCCATTGGGGTCATGGTGAGTGTTTTGGTCTCTTTCTCATACTGGCAGTAGTATTTCACCCAGGATATTCCCAAGGCCCCTACAAAGATAGGCAATAGTGAGCTGCCAGGATAAATTTTTTTGACTGTATAGTCAGTACAGTCCTAGGTGGAAGCTGGGTACAGCTTCCTCTTCACAGTTATGCCCCAGCTACAGGCCTACCCTTCCCCTGAGCTTTAGCTCTATAGTGCCAATTTCCTACTGCAGATACGGAGAGTAAAACCCTCTTCAACTGCTTTCCACATTTCTTCTAGCTTTCTTCACATCACTCTCCTTGTCATGTTTCCTATGAACAGCACCACTAAACATCTTATTGCATGAGATGAGAACAATCTTCTGCTCCTTTCCTGTAACTTACCCCATTTGATCACTATTTGTACTCTGCTTATTCTATCTCATACAGTCCTGTCCTTTAGCTACCTTCTCTTCTCCGTGACTTTTTTTTTTAACTTTTATAAGATACTTTAAACAAAACAAAAATTCATGATTTTTCCAATTAATTATTTCAGTGTCTCTTTCTCTGGCTTCCTCCATCTCAGATCACCGCTTTTTACACCATTATCAACACCTCAGCTAGAAAAATATTTTAAAATATATATTTCTATTTACATCATGCCTTTTATTATAAACCACCCATGACTTTCCCACGGTCTCCAGACTTTTTTCCTGGCACACAAAGCCCTTGATAATGTGATCATATTTGTTCCATTTTTTTTTTCTTTTGCCACCCTTTATACCTGTGATCCTGTCTCATTTCATTACTTTCAGCAACCAAACAAATAAGTGGTCATATAATTTACAATCTAAATTCAAGATCTATTAAGGAGTGAACTGGGCACTAATGAAAATTACAACAGAACAACAGGCATGAGACAGGATCATTCTTGGCAACAAACATCCCACAAATAAACTACACTCCAGAAAGCTCTGTGCCTTTATTCATAATTTTCTTTCCCTTTGTTTTTCCTCATTATCTACCAAACTCACAATCAAAACTCAAGCTTCAGTTCATATATCATTTCCTCAGCGAACTGATGAAAGCCCCAAGTACTGTTCTACACATTTCATTATAACTGATACATTTGTGTGTCTCATCAAACTGTGAAATATAATGAGAACAAAGTGGGCACTTAAACATCTTACTATGCATAGATTGGATCCCCAAAACAAAGAATTCTCCAACCTGAAATATCAATAGCACTCAGATTGAGAAATACTACAATGCAGATTTGAAGAGATGAACTTGAATATGGGAGAAATTAACTGTTCTAAAGGAGGTAAAGCATGATAATAATGCCATGCTGAATGGATTGCAGTGATTTTTACAGATGGTAGCCTCTGGATACGCTTTTGCCAACCTCTGGATATCTGACTCCCTTAGTAGAATAATCCTGGGCACAGAATAAATCATAGGCTTTGAGGACACTAGGTCATAAGGAAAATCAAATAACACATATAGGTTCATATAATGTTATTTAGAAGGTAGAAAACTTGAATCCTCTGCAATATTGAGTAATTGGATGAGTAAAATCATTTTCCCAGGTTAGTTACAAAAAAATAATAACTGATCTTCCCACTGAAATCATGATATCTGTTTACTGTTTTATCAGCAACCATATGATTCTAAGGCAGTGAATGATATCTGTATATTAATAGGAGTGCAGGTTTGGGCATTTCACAAACCTGAATTTAATTTTAAGCCTGCCACATGATTATTAGGTGACTTTCAATGCTGAGCTTTCCAACCTTCAGTGGTACCATGCGGAAAATGGGACTGATAATGTGTTTTCAAAGATTAAAGAACTTAATGTGATGCCTGGAATATAGAACGTATAACAAATAATTTTCAGCATCTATTCTGGTACCACTCACTTTGCCCCAAAGAGTCAGCAGAATGATTAAACAATTAACAATCCACATTTTGAATCTTTAATCTCTCCCTCTCTTTTATTTTTAGTATTCCCAGGATGCTCTCTAAAGAGTTGTAGTTTTCTGGGGCCTGTGATCAATATGTGTGTCTGCAGTTTGCGAGACAAAATGGGAATAGTACAAGTATACTGAAACCCAGAGGGCAGCCCTGTATTGCCACACACATTTCTCTTGTGTATAGAGATAGCCTTCAATAGTTGGCTGTCCTGGAAGCTTGCATGTCTGGGGAGCGTCTTTCATCCTTTTCTTAAGCTCTTCCATCTCTTCCCGGGTACTGGAGAAATGATTTCTTGTCTGTCAAGATATCACCATCATCATCATCAACAACATCATAACAATTAAGCATTTACTAGTCAGAGACTCAGAATAGAGTTTTCATGGCTGATACATGTATTACAGTGTAGCAACAAACAGATGTTGAATTGCATAGTGATTAGACTAATTTTATGGAGCACTATGGTACTAAAAACTAAGAGGAAAATACAAATATAATAACAATATTCTCATAAAGCCTCATGTCTGATATTGGGAAACACATAAAAGTTCCAATAAATAAGGGTTCCTAATATTCTGAGCACGAGTTTGACCCCTGCTTCACAAAAACAAGGCTCCCAAAGATAATATTACCAAGGCAGTGTCTAAGTTCTGATTCAAGTTCTGTCTATATAACTGTGAAGCAAATTTGGGTCACTAGGATAAAATATGTGACATAAGTCAATCACCATTTTAGTTTCCATGCTCATGAATAATGAAAGCTAATGGCAATATATATTTAAAACTACACAACTAAAACACAATGACAAAACACAATTTAAACTGTGAATATGAAAATCACTAGAAATAGTGATAAGTTCCTTCGTGTTCAGTGTCAAGACTATGACATGATGTCGGTGACGGTGATGATCTGGGATGACACATCTACTTTGATGTGCTCTGTTAATATGATTCCCATACATATACACGCACAGACTTCTTGTTAAACTCACATATGTCAAGTTATATTTGGTGAAAGATTCAAGCAATTATCTTAGTTATAGAAAAAGTTTGTAAATAAGCACAACATAGGAGCCCTAAATTTCTGCTAAAGAAGAGAACCCAGGAAGAAGGAGCATACCCAGTATGAAAAACAGTAACAAGTCTAAATTAAAATGTTCCTCAACAACCATATGATGTGCAGTTCCACTGTGACTTCCAGCCTTTTTCACCTAAAAATACATCTATAAAATTTAGGCAATGTAACAACTAATTCCTTCTCTGACTCTACTAAGGAGTCAGTTGTTGCACACTGTTCTTTAAAAATTTTGGTCTTAATTCTGTTGTAGCATTTACCACTAAAGGATTTATGATTTATCTGTGCTTATTTCTCCTTCCTCCAAGAAATCATATACTCCTTCAGGACATTAAAAACTAATATGCCTCATTATAGAATGTTCAGTATCTTTGCCAATGCCTGCAAGAGAGTATATATTCATAAATGTCAAATAAGTAAATTAGAAAAACAATGCATTGACAAGAACGGGAAGGGTTTGCCTATGCTCCACATAAAAACAGTATAGGAAAAAGGTTGATAAAATCCTTGAAAATAACTTAATGCTAATAATAAGTTGTGAGAAAAGGAAGAGAATGGAAAATGGGCATTTACAGCAATGACCCCCCCACAATGAGAATGTCTTGCCTAGGAGGTAAGTAGCATAATACCTGTGCTTAAGGAAATCTGTCGCGGGCTTTCAATGTGGAAAAGAGGCAGCAAATTAACAATACTAATAACTATTTGATAGACAAAGATATTGATGGGTGGGAGGGTGAGCTTGGAAAATGATCAGTCTCAAAAACAGAGAAGAGTTGAAACTGCAAGAGCAAAACAAATCCAGCAACTCAATATATTTGCGATGAATACCAGTGTGTTCTGACAAATTGGGTTGGTGTGATAACCTAGAATTCCAAGGCCAAAGTCATAGGGATCAAAATTCAGTAGGCATGCAAATACAGGTCACATATCCCACATAGAAACTCACATTCTGCAAACTTAGCTGGAGTTGCTGTTTGTATGGGAGGAAATCCTGTGTGAGCTCTACAGTCAAGCTGTTGGAAATGAAGAGGCTATGAAGAAAGGCCAAGACCTAAAAAACATGCAAAAATAATTTTATCACTATCATCTCATTCATCAAACACAGGAAACAGAAGAGTAGAAAAGAAACCCTCCACAGTGTTTGCCAGTACAATGTTAAAAGTAGTCATGCAAGCGAAAACAGATCTATATATATAGATATTTATATTGGATCAGTTCCTAAAACTAGGAACTACAACTACAAATTTTTTCAATCAGTTTCTTTCCAAATAGCACATAACATGATTCATATTTTGACAGTATGGCTATATATTGGCTTTTCTCTCTATAAGTAGCCTCAAATTTGTCACAGATTAAATGTCTGATAAATACTTGAATAAAAAGTGAATAAATGATAGTTAAATTGATAAATGAATGAAATAGGACTTTGTGTATTAATTAAAAATGTCACAATGCTTAAAAACCAAAGGAATCTACATCATCAAGCTAAAAACCAAAGGAATCTGAAACCATTTTCAAATTAGAAATATTTCGGTAGTGTTGCAGAAGGCATACAAATGTTCTATATAAATGTTCAAAATAAACATTTAAAATAAAGTATGATTTTCATCGATCAAACAGACTGTTATGTTAATTCAAAGAAGGAGCACTTTCTCTTTGGCTTTAAGTTATAAGTGTAGGAAGATTTAAATTTTAAGCGCTTACTGGTTTTCTCTAATACCACGACAGTGCACTTTTCATAAAGACAGAATTTGAATCAGTCTTCTTCAATATAGAATACCCAGTATCACATACTGCACCAAACACTTAACCAAAGCTCAATAATTGTTGGTTGCATAAATGAAAAAGTGCCTGTTTGTACAAAATAGATACATACAAACATAAACACAGGTGCATAGCTTCACAGAAATACATGCTCGTGTGCAATATATGCATGTGAATACACACAACCACACATGCATGCATGTATCCATATTTACAAGCAGACATTCACAAGTAGATAAAGAATTTTATAGGTAAATGCAAAATTTGGGAAGAATGGTGCCACAATTTTAACAGTGATTATGTTTCAACAGAAGACTTGTTGTTTTTTATTTGTTTTTCCTGCAATTTTTTTCTCATTTCACAGCAAAATGAAGTGATTAAAAGTTGATAAAATTCAACATATTAATCAATCAAATCAAGGCACATCATCTTTTTATTGAATTAAGGGAATTTAAGTGGAAAAATAAAGAAGATAGAAATAAAAATAGTTGTCTCTGCTGATCTACTATAAGAATGAGACCATTCTCAGCAGGCTGTCAACACACATTCTCCTTAAGCCTGGTGGTTTAAATAGGTCTATTCCTTTGTGGAACTAATTAGCAAGATACAGTGCAGTTTCTACTACTACTTCGCAAAGTCCATTTTCAGCAAACTCAGACTGTTATCATTCCAGAATATGTCAACATCGCCCTGGAAGTTTGTGCTGTTATTGTGAAGGGCACCAGGGCACCCTGCTGAGGGACTTCAATCACATCAATGACAAACAGGATCTCCTCAGAAAGAAAAGGAAGAGAATCCAGGCTGACAAAATACATTGGTTACTGTTCACAGTCTCTGTAGTCATGACCAGGACATGATTAAGGGACACTGGGCTTCTGCTACTGGTTGAGGTCTGCATATGCTCACTACCCCATCACCATTGTGATTTAGGAGATTAACAATAATTTCTGGTTTATAGAAAAAATCTCTTGAAAGAAAATTACACTCACAGGGCTTAGGTGAGTGCAGGCGTTGCTTGTTCGGTGACTCAAGCCCACAAATATGAGTTATTTCTTCAAGGAAGTGATACTGAATTTATATCAAATTCTGTTCTTTTGATTTAGCAAGCAATGACAGTGAAAAACAAGAATAGCAGGACATTTTGGAATATAAATGTATTGCTGAAAGCTAATGAAAATGATTGAAGTTGTCTAGCTACAGAAAGGTCAAGATGCTGGATGATTCCTGGATCTAGACCTATTTGTGATATATGTTTTAAGATGCAATAAAAGTTGTTACTGATTTCGGGGAGGGGAAAGAAGTACAAATAATAGAATGGGAAGTCACTGGATACAACGGATGTACATTCTTAGAACAGTGTCCGGTAAATCATGGGTACTTTCAGAGGTTTTCTGAATGAATGAGGAAAATGAATAAAGGGGAATGAGCTATAATTAACATTAAGGGTGGAAGAAAAGTTAAGGGACGGGTGGAAAGAGAGGAAAAGAAATAAAGAGATAAAGAAAAAGCATAGTTAAAGTGAGAAAAATGTTGAACAGAAGGTAAGATGGGAGGGGGTGGATAGTAGGGAGAAAGCAAAAACATTTTAGCTAGTGTACCTACTTTCTTCACATTCGTTCACCTTTAAATATTAATTACTCTTCCCAATCTTAGAGATACCAATTTTACAACCAAAGTTCTCCACAAATACAAGGTACTTGGGAAATATGTTTGATGACCAAAACAGAGCACTTACTGGCTCAACAATATTGAACTTCTTGGATTCTTGAACTTCCTGAATTTGATATACATAATCAAGAGAAGACTCGAAGAAATTATGCCTCTCCTTGTCCACCTGGAGATCTGCCTGTAGAAGAGATACACATGCCACAAATCATTACAGTCATTCATGAAAATCAGCGCTTACATATGCAATAGTATATCACTGAGCAGTGATATATTTTTTTTGCCTACTGAACCAATAATGATTTATAACATTATGAAGATTTCAGGAACACAACAGTTTAAACCATTATTTGTACATACTACATTATGTTTGTCACCAGAAATCTAGTTTCCATCTATCACCATGCAGTTGACATCTCTTACATAAATCTGCCACCTTGCCTCCCTGTTCTTGTAAACACTTCTTTTTCTTATCATGTGAAAGTTGGATTTTATTTTAAATATTCATTCATTTGGTTTTTAAATCATATATGAATGAAATCGGATAAGCAGTGACCTTATCAATTAATTTCACAAATAGGGAATGTGGAGCCAAGAGAAAAAATGTGAGGGATGTAAGACTTCCTTTCTTTCATCAATAATCAAAGAGCTTGGAAACTATCAAACACATACTCATAGAGGGATAAAGTTGAATGTAAAAACCAACAATTCTCTTAGATTCAACAGAGAATTGAAGTCAGAGAAAAACACTGCTGCCTCATGAATTCAATAGATAAATGAACACTTTTCAGAACAGATACCCAGAAGTAGAAGTCTTATTACAGTCATTATCAGACCTTATTGAAGTCTCTAAAGAAATCCAAAGACAACAGGGAAGATCAAAACAAAGACTAGAAGATATATTGGCCTCTTGCAGTTACAGCTCCAGCAAACTACTACTCAATGTCTAAATCCTAATCAGATAAACATAAAACCTCAGGCTAAACGTCTATCTACCTCAATTTATTTTAACCAGAGCACTAACAGAAATAAAGGATGTACTTAATGGACTTATTGACAGATTGGATAAGACTAAGGAGATAATTGGTAAACTTGGAAGATACATTTATAGAAATTCCAAAAACTGAAATACAAAGAGAAAAAAGATGAAGTAGATAAAGCAGAATATTTAACCATTAGGCAATTAAAAAAGGTTTAAGACATGCATGTTAGGAATGCCAAAAAGAGAGAAAGAGAAGAAATATTTAAAGCACTAAGGACTGATAATATACAAAATTAAAGACATATACCAAGCAACAGATGGAGACAGTGCAGGGATCAACGGGAGGAAACAATACCAATATCAACATGTATAAATATCATATAAAAATGAATTTTTTTTGGCCCTCCCTGGTGGCTCAGCGGGTTAAAGAACTGCACCTAAGAAGCTTAAGCCACTTCCTCATGAGTTCGATTCCCACCTGCCCCGGAGGAGATCCACATGGCGCGGCAGACCTCTCCTGACCCGCCCCGCCCGCTGCTCCCCTCAGCAGTGTACTTCGTCGATCTGCCTGTTCTGCTGCCCACTCTGTCTCTGGTGAATCCTCTCACCCTCCGCATCTCTGGCCTGTACCCCAGTTCTATATGAATAAATAAATAAATCTTTTAAAAAATGAATTTTTTTCAGAGACAGATAGAGAGAAAATATTTAAAGACAGTAGAGGCAAAAATCAAGTAACCTATAAAGATTGAAGGATAAAAATTCTCTCAAGTAGTAGAACGCAAAGGAAGGAATGGGAAGGGGGACAAAACAGGAGAGATGAACACAAGTGAATATGGCGTCGATTCATGGTAATCCGGTGGCGGGTGAACTATGAGAATTACAATGATGTAGTAGAAAGAAATACTGAAGTTAAAACAAAAAGATCACAATTTCAGAACTCTGTATATAGTGAAATCGCAGTAAAACTGAAGGAAAATTACAGAATTTGTCAAACAAAAATTGAAGGTTCTGTTGCCAGTCTGTTGCCAGTATACTTGTAACACAAGAAATGTTGCAAAGTGGGCCTCCCTGGTGGTGTAAGGGTTAAGTCTCAGTTCTATCATGCTCTTACTGCTGCAACTGAGTTCGATCCCTGACCAGGGAGCTAACCTACAGGTCACACCCAAACTCTCCGGTCTCTCCTGCTTGTCCCCTTAGCAGTATATTTCAGTAAATCTACCTTTTCTGCTCCCAACTCTGTCTCTGTTGAATCGTCTCACTCCAACCACCCCACAATACCTCTGGCCTATATCTCAGTTCTTCTATGTATAAATAAATAATAAATTTTTTAAATGTTAAAAAGTTCTTCAGACAGAAGGAAAAGATATATCAAAAATATGTACAATATAAAGGGATTAAAGAGCACAAGAGAAGGAATGAATGAAGGTAAAATAAAATCTCACATTTTTCTTACTTGTAAGTGATCCCACATATAAGAATTTGCTCAAAATAATAAGTGTAGCACTGTATCTGGTGATTATAAAATATAATACAAAATGTGCAATGACTGACAGGAATATAAGGGACTTTAAGGTGAAATTGGAAGTCTTCTGTTATGTTTCCTGCATTACCTAAATAGCAGCATGATGTTATCTGCAGTTATGTAAAATATGAAATAATTATAAATACAATTACAAAAATGTATTTTAAATGAAGGATAATTGATAATATTAAAAGAGACCGGAAATGGGAATACATAAAATTTTTGTTAAAAAATAGAAAGTAGGGCTCCCTGGTGGCACAGGGGTTAAAGTCTCAGTGCTACAGAGCTATCACCAGCCATGGCAGTATGAGCTTAATCCAAGGCCAGACAAGTAAACCACATGGTGCAGCAGACCTCTCCTCTGGCCCAATGCTCCTTCACCAGAGTACTTCAGTATATCCACTTGTTCTGCTCCACACTCTATCTCTGATAAATCCTCTAACCCCCCACACCTCGGGCCTAAACCCTAGTTTTTGTATTCATAAATAAAGAAGTGTTCAATAAATATGAAGTAGAAAAACTCTAAAAGACAAAAATATAGAAACAAAGAACAAAGGTAAAGAGTGAAAAATCACTATCACCCACCATAGCTATTAATCCAACTATATCAATTACTTCGAAGGTCAATGGTTTAAACATCCATGTTTACAAGTAGATATTGTCAGAGTGCATAAAAATAAAATAGGCTATCACTTTAAATATAAAACATACATTAAATGTAAAGCTATGGAAAAAGATATATCAACATGAATCAAATGAAAGTTCTAGTAACTATTAATTTCAGAAAGATGAAATTTAGAGCGATGGCAGATATTAAGAAAAAGAGGGGTATAACATGATTGATATGGATCAATTCTCCAAGAAATATAATAATACTTGTTATGAACATTAGAACATCAAAGTATATGAGGTTAAAATTAGAAGGGCTGCAAGAAAATAGAATCCATTATTAGCATTAACTTCCTCACTACATACCTAAAGAGTTATATACAAATAAAACAGTTCCTGAAAGAAAACCAGTTGATAAATAATTTCATAGAGAAAAGTGACATGACAGGTTAGGAACAATTTCAATATAATTTTTCTTGGAACACTATTGGGCATCAGCTCAAGAGAGGGATGAACAATTACAACATAGAGCCTTTATCTGTTGTTAGTTAAAAGGCTCACGTACAACCACATGGGGGGCTTTAGCAGCTCTGGGCTACATTGAAATGGGAGTAAACATAAATTAGTGTGGAAAACAGAGGGGCCCATCTCTAGAGAATGATATGGTTTGGGACAGTAGTGATCAGCAATTTAACCCTAGTGGAAAAGAGAAATGCCATAAAAATAAACTCAATGACAGAATAAAGTCCAGCAGGTGAAGAACCCTGTACCCCTGCCACTAAGAGTACTTGAGACCACTGCAAGGGACAGTATAGTGTTTAGCTAAGATGGGGGTTGTTAGCTTGAGCCTGTGGTTCAAAGAACCTAGCCAACATAAGTTTGATCTTGTTGGAAAAGCCTGGACAGAGGAACTTGATGTAACTGAGAAGAGGTCTACCAATTGTCTGGCACATAAGAGGTTCCTCTATATAAATGCTGTTTGTATGATAAATAACATTATCCCATTCCAGCTGGGGGCATTGTTACAGTAAGATTCAACAAAGAAAAACTATAAAACAACAAAAAGCAAATAACCAATGCAATAAATTCCTACATTTTGATCGTTTTTCCAAACATAAGTAAATTGAATCCACCAATTAAAAAGTACAAAGTCAGTTTCCCCTGGCTGGCAACATGGAGACAAGACAATGCCTTGAGTTACTGTAAAAGATGTGAATTAGTAGGAGTTCACCAGAGCTCTGGAAGTCTTCCTCAAAGTGTCTAGGAAGCTGAGAGTTTGGGAATGGGTGGACACCGTCAAGCTGGTCAAGCAAAGAGAACTCAATCCCTATGATGAATACTGGTTCTACACATGGACTGATTCCACAGCAAGGCTTCTGTACCTCCAGAGTGGCCCTGGGGTTAGCTCCATGACCAAGATCTTTGGGGGATATCAGAGAAATAGTGTGATTCTCCATGGAGTCCTCCAAGCCCCCGAGGGGTTGAAAATGGTGGAAAATGACCAAGATGGGGGCCATAAACTAAAATCTCAGGGGCAGAGAGATCTGGACAGAATTGCTGAACATTTGGCAGCTGCCAACAAGAAGCAATAGAATAAATGACCTCGGGTCAATAAATTGCCTCATTTATAAAAACGAATGAATGAATGCATAAATAAATAAATAAAGATATAAAGTGACTGAGTGGACCAGAGGGGAAGAAACAATTTGTTTTTGTTCACAAGAAACTCTTATTGCCTCTAAAGAAAAATACAGGCCTAACTTAAAAGACTTTAAGAGCATGTTATAACCAAATGTTTTTTTTTTAAATGCAGATATAATTGTACTTCATCAGGTAAATTAGATTTCCTATTTAAAAAGGTAATAAAAAAGGATGTACATAATATAAAGATTAAAGGCATCATACAAAAAGAAGATAAAATTACATTAATGCATACAAAATGATGGCATATCAAAATACTTAATACAATTACTATAACTAAAGAGTGACAATGACAGCAACATAATAATAATAGTGGCTTTTAACACCCTACTTAAAATTATGGGGTGATCAAGAAGCCAGAAAAAAA